CCTCTCCACAACCAGCCCAAACCCCCGGATCTCCACAGAAGACCCCACTCCACTCACTCTTCTTGCAGGAAGTGCATTTGCACTCCTTGCATTTGCAGGAGCCGGCGCACGTGCAGGAACCACCTGCCAAGAAGAAGAAAGAGCAGTGAGCAAGGATGATGTGGGAGCCTCAAAAATAAGGCAACGAAGGGTCCCCGAGGCATTCTGCCAGTGCCCAGCCATGGGAGCTCCTTTGTCACCCACGGTGAATTAAGAGAAACTCCACTTCTGCTGCTGGGCAAAGTAGGTTCGTCCCAGATCTGACTCAAGAAGGATCCCAAGCTCCAGAATCGGCCCATGCAAGGAGAGTCCCCCACTTACCACCACGTCCTGGCACCCCCGTGGCCAGAACAGCGTACCGGGTTCGAGGCCAACACCCCTAACCAACAGGGAACCTCAACATGACCACAAATACCCTCAACTGTAAACCCAAAAGACAAGAGAACGGCCGTACCTCTCCAGAGGCTGACTCGAAAAATCTACTTCAGTTCCAGCCACGAACACCGGCTTTTCCCACACCAGAGACACCCCGCGACCCACGCCTCGAAAGCGTATCCCTTACCTGTGAAGCAAGAGCAGTTGGAGTCCATGTCAGACCACAGCGAGGACGGAAACTCCAAACAAACAATGCAACGATCACAACGCTGCAAGTTGAAAGCGCGGTAATGCCTCGCCCCCGCGGGCTGACATTATGGGCAGAGCGGCTGGCCCGGGCGCAAAGGCCCCGCCCCTGCCCTTGCACCCGCCCCGCCTGGAGCTCGAGGCCCGCCGGTGCCTTGACCGAGCTGTGTGCACCTGGCGGGGCCGGGCGCACGAGTCCCGGGAGGGCCGTAGGGCTCGCTACGCACCGCGCCGGGGGCACGAGATGTTTCAGCCTCCCAGCTCGCCCCGGGTCTCCCCGAGGTCGGTAGCCGGCCCTGTTCCCGCGTGTTCCGGGAACCCGGCGCCTGGGTCCAGACCGCCTTCCCCACCCCCGTACCCGGTGCAGGCGTCCCCGGGGTCGCCCTTTCCTGGAGCCCGTGTGCAACACTGGCCTCTCCCGGTAGGGGGAGGGGTTGTGCAGAGCGATCCCAGAGAGTTGTGTGCAGAGGACAGGCGATGGATGTGACCTTTGTGGCCCTTGGCTTTTCTCCCCCTGTCCCCAGGTGGGACTGGGCTTTCAGGCCATTTTCTGCTGTACACAGTGTGGCCGACGCAGACCACTGCTTCTCTCCATTTTGCACACCCAAACGGATATAGGGGCGCGATCGTGCAGGGTCTTCTTGGCATTACAATTAGTGCTCCCCACACCTGCTGGGGCACCCCAGTCCCGGCGGTTTCCAGAGGGTGAGGTACCCACAAAGGAGGGATCCCTTTAGGTGATAGGAGACCTGGCTTTAAATAAAGAAAAAAAAAAAAAAAAGAGGTGGTTATTTCCCTTTCAACATTCCAAGAATTACATAGCATTTAGTGACTTCCACTGCCCCCCTCCCCGACCCCAACTTGGGCCCTCCGCCATGGCTCTTGTAGACAGAAAGGCGGTGAGCTCAGGCTTCTGGCTCCCTTCCTTTCCTCCTCCCCCCGCCCCACCACCCCGCAAGGCAGAAGGGATGCGTGGGCGCGTTTGTCCTGGCGCTCCTTTCCCGAAACTTTCTTGGGGCTCTCCTCAGCCCTGTCCAGTTCACTCAGGGTGGAGGTTCCCAAAGTATGGGATGCTACCCACCCCGTTCACCGCACCCCCAGAAGGGATCCTTTTAGATGACAGGCGGACCTGGCTTCAAATAAGAAAACAAGGTGGTTCTGTCCCTTTCAGATCCCTGAGAACTACACAGTGTGTAGTCTCTTCTGAGTGTTGCTTATCACTCAGCATCAGTCCTAAAGGGGACATTAGTTATCAGCCAGTTTCCCAAAGGCAGAAATGCACACAGTCCAAGGATTTTAAGGTAGCTAACCCAGGGTCACAGTGCTGGGAAGTGGAGTCCTGGATCTGCTTCCAGCCACTCCTGGAGGGAAAGAAAGTAGATGATAGGGGCACCTGGGTGGCTCAGTGGGTTAAGCCTCTGCCTTCCGCTCAGGTCATGATCCCAAGGTCCTGGGATTGAGCCCTGAATGGGGCTCTCTGCTAGGCAGGGAGCCCGCTTCCTCCTCTCTCTCTGCCTGCCTCTCTGCCTACTTGTGATCTCTGTCAAATAAATAAATAAAATCTTTAAAAAAAAAAAAAGTAGATGACAAAGCTTCCCTTCAGCCCATAGGTATGTCTTCAGCACCTCTCTGCTGTCCGATGCTCAATCCTGGGAGTGACAAAGTGATAACAGAAGGAATTTACACACACACACACACACACACACACACCTCTTTGTCTAGAAGTAAACTCATTCTCATTTTCAGGAGGGGCAAAGAGTTTGCTTTTCATATAAATATATTTCAGGAAATATGAATTGTTCAAAAGAAAATGTTAAGTAAATTACTGGTGCAAAGGACCGCAGAAATGGCAGGCGTCCTTCTGTGTCTATTACCAGGACATAGGCCATCTGGCTTTTGGCTTTATATCCCTAGTGCAGTTCCTTCTTTTGTGGGAAGAGAGGGTAACTCTCTCTGGGCAGCTAGTCGCATGATCTTTGGGTGGATAAGGACAGTACAGGACATGCAGCTAAGCCCACAAGTCTGGCCTTTTTTATCTGGAAATAGAAAACGTCTCCAAAGCTATGAACGCTATTAATAAAATAATAGCTAATGTGGATTACTCACTGTGTATGTGTATGGCATCATTCTAATTTCTTTGCATTACTTCTAAGATTAAATCAAGTGAATTTAATCTTTCCATCATTTCCTTCTAAGAGCCACACCCTATTTTTTTCCCTTTATAGAGAGCTGGAGACTGAGCCACAAAGAGGTTCATGTCACACAGCTGTGACATGGGTGGGACTGGCACTCCGTGGGCTGACTGCAGCAATCATGGCCTCACCCACCACCCCGTATGTGTGAAAGGTGAGGACTCTGGACACCTGGCACAGAGGCAGTGTGGGAAGAACTTCTGCATAGCTCTGTCACCTCTCTGGGCTTCCGTTTCCCACGTCTCAAGATAGGGCACAACTAGACTATCTCAAAGGACCCTCCAGCTCTGGAAAATGACAGGCAGAATTTAGCACCCACTAGCATCCTGACCAGCCAGTTGGGTTACGACTCTGACTAGGAACTGTGTGATTTTGGGCTGGTGGCTTAACCTCTCTGGAAATTGGCACAATCACTTCAGCCCCTGAACATTCACTCTCTCACTGGTTCCTGTACAGGTGAAATGACATAAAGGATGGGAAAGACCCTTGGTCTGTCCAAATGCTGTGGCAGCCTCCTGTCCTGAGGGCCTTTTTGCTAGCCATCCACACTCCCCCTGACCCCAGGTAAGCAAATTTCCAATTCCATCTCTAGCCTCCAGCCCAGAGAAACGCTTCCAAACCAATGGGCCTTTCCCTAAGGCTTGTTGGGAGCTAGCAGTCTCTCTCCACAAACGTCATGTGAATATAGGAGTGACCATAGTGGCCCACTGTTTATTAAAAGCCCTAGATAGAAGCCAGGCCACTATCTCATTTAATTTCCCACATTGCAAAATAATCTTTTTTATACATGAAGAAATGGAGGCTTAGCAAGTATCAACGACTTGCCTAGGTCAGTTGGCCAGGAGGTGAAAAAGTAGGCTGTGAACCCACCAACGCCCACGCGCTGGAAACACACTGCCTTCCGAAATCCCCCTTTCACACCAAGCACCTGCGGGCAAGCAGCGGCCTGACTCAGGGCCACGTGACTCCCTTTTCCCTTTGATCCAAGGTCCAGCAGCAATTCCCTCCACAAACAGCCAGGGGAACCAACCGTTGGTGTTAATTACAAGTCACTGTGGGCCTCACTTGGAATAAACACAACCTCCACAGGGCTATCAGCCAGCACGGTTCCCAAGCAGCAGTGAACTCCATCTGGAACCAGTTCTCAGGCACCCTCCCTCTTGCTGGGAAATGGTTGGGACACCAGCCCAAACCAGTGGAGCCCGTGTTGCCGACGGGGCTACTCAAGATGGTCCACAAACCTCGTGAATTGTTCCATGCATACTTTCAATGAATAAATGTGTACTTTACAATTTTTCAATGTTATTGTTCCTCATATGCTTATTGAAATAAAAAAAATGGGGTTTCCAATGTGCCGGTTACAAATTTTTTCCAAAGCTTAAATCTTGTGTTAGAAAATAAAAATTGGGGGGCACCTGGGTGGCTCAGTGGGTTAAAGCCTCTGCCTTCGGCTCGGGTCATGATCCCAGGGTCCTGGAATCAAGCCCCACATCCGGCTCTCTGCTCTGCTGTGCAGGGAGCCTGCTTCCTTCTTTCTGCCTACCTGTGATCTGTCAAAATCTTTAAAAAAAAAAAAAATTGGTCCCTTAAGTGTTTTAGAAACCCCGTGAGGAAAAGCCTTATCAAGTGAGTAATTGGGCTGCATCCCGAGTTACTTTTTAAGTTTTTGAAGTAATTTCTACACACAACATGGGGCTTGAACATAGATCAACTGAGATCAAGAATTGCAAACTCCGACTGAGCCAGCCACATGCCTGAGTGTTTTTGAAAGCCAGCATTGCTGAGAACCTAAGTTTGACAAAATTCCAAGAATGAAATAGAAATTAAGTTCTTAGATTAACACTTTCAAGGAGAAGGAAAATGAACCCACCCCATACCCTTAGATCAACCAGATACTTTCATCTTCTGTCAAGAAACTAACAGGAAATCATTGACTTGCATAAGGGAAGTTGTCACGGGCCAATTCTTGGGTCCAGAACCCAGGTCTCTGTTCCAGGTCTAACTCCCCACCCCACCCACAATGGGATTGCAATCCCCGAGCTCAGAAGGGCACAAAAGAAAACAGCCAGAATAAATTTAACTTTTTATTGTAACTCATGTTATTTCATAGAAACAGGAATGTAGCAAACAGGTCAGGTAGTATGAAAAAGAAGTCTTTAAACTGTAGACTTATACATGTGGATCTATTTACATCAGGAACGGGCTCCCCAAGATCAGGCACAGCAGCTGCACTTGTCCGACGCCCCTTTGCATACGCAGCCCTGGGCACACTTGGCACAGCCCACGGGGCAGCAGGAACAGCAGCCTAGGTGACAAAAGCCAAAGCATCAGAAAACCCCCTCTTAAAAGCAGGCTTGGCACAGGCACTGCCCCCAGCCCCAGAGGACCCTGACTTGAGAATGACATGCTGTCCCTAGACAAGTGTGTCCTACACACTATATACTGTCCTGCCCCCATCTGATTCCAAGACAGGGCAGAATGTCTGGAGATACAGTGACGGGGGCCCAGAGACAACGCAGGCTGATCCGTTGCCTTCCAGATAGGAATCTTTGAAATCAGTGAGGGGGAGCCCCCTGCCTAGCAGCTCTGGGCTGTCCCCACAGAACGAGCTGCACCTGATCAGACAAACTACACGTGGTCACGAAGTTCATGTACACCAAGTGTTCAGGACACTGGCAGAGTTCGGAAGGCTGCAGCAGGAGGCGTAACACATAGATTGTAGTTCTGCCTCCTTCTTTGACACTATCTGCTGACCTCTCTGAGCCTCAGTCTTTCTGTTCTAGACTGAGGTTGGAACTCACCCCTCTACATGCCCTTTCAGCTCCAATTCCGAGTCGGGGGCTCATAGCAGGGGCTGCCAGAGACTGAATCACTGGCCTGCTCCTGCCTGCTCAGCTCTGGGATTCCCCAACACACATACCCACCCCAAGACCAGACCCTGATCCCCACGGAAGACCCCACTCCACTCACTCTTCTTGCAGGAGGTGCATTTGCACTCCTTGCATTTACAGGAGCCGGCGCACGTGCAGGAGCCACCTGCCAAGAAAAGAGAGAGAGGTGAGCAAGGGTGATGTGGGAGCTCCAGCACTCGGGCAACCAAACCACTCTGCACCACCTAACACTGCCCAGTCCTGGGAACTCCTTTCTTGCCCCACCGAATCCCATTAAGAGAAACCCCGGTTTCTTCTACTGGTGGAAAAAATAGATCCCTTCCAAATCTGACTCCACAAGGAGGATCCCAAGCTCCAGGACCAACGCAAACCAAGCACATGGAGTCCCCGCCTGCTATCACGTCCTGGCACCCCCAAAGCCTTAACAGGAGTCCCAAACCAGCAGCCCCGACCAACAGCAAACCTCGACATAACCACAAATACCCTCCACTCTAACCCCAAGACACGGAAAGAACACATACTCTAGAAAGCTTGGCAAAAACCCACCCACAACACGTGCTGACTCGAAAAGTCTACTCCAGCTCCAGCCCCCCAAACCCGCCCCTCCGACTCCAAGAACACACTGCGGTAACCTAAAAAAACTCTCTAAAACTCAAAATCGTGGTTCCTTACCGCTAGAGCAAGAACAGTTGGGATCCATCTCCACCAGGATAGAAAAGAACAACTCGAAACAGACAACAAGAAGAAGAACAGGAGAAATCTGTTAAGAACCTTACCGACCGCCGCCGCGGGCTGACTTTATAGGCCGAGCGGGTGGCCCGGGCGCAAAGGCCCCGCCCCTGCCCCTGCCCTTGCACCCGCCCCGCCGGGAGCGCGCCTCCTGCTGCGGCCTTGGCCGCGCTGTGTGCACTTGGCCGGGCCGGGCGCACGAGTCCTGGGGGAGGGGTGGTGGGGGTCGGTTGGGCTCGCTGCGCACGGTGCGGAGGGGATGCGCGCCGGTTGGCATGCCGTGTCTCAGTCACCCTGCTCGCCCATGTGGGTCTCCCCGAGGTCGGTAGCCGGCCCTGTTCCCGAGTGTTCCGGGAACCCGGCGCCTGGCTCCGGACCGCTTTCCCCACCCCAGTACCCCGTGCAGGCGACCCCGGGGTCGCCCTTCCTGGAGCCCGTGTGCAACCCTGGCCTCCCTTCTCCCCGGGGGGAGGGGGTTGTGCAGAGCGACCCGAAAGAGTTGTGTGCAGAGGACAGGCGATGAATGTGAACTTTGTTTCCCTTGGCCTGTCGTCCCCGTGTCCCCAGGTGGGGCTGGGGTTTCAGGCCGTTTTTTGCTGTGCACCGTGTGGCGGACCCAGACCGCTGCCTCTCTCCATTCTGCTCACCCAAACGGATATAGGGGCGCGATCGTGCAGGGTCTTCTTGGCATTACAACTAGTGCTCCCCACAGCCTGCTGGGGCACCCCAGTCCCAGTGGTTTCCAGAGGGTGAGATGGTGACAGGGAGACCTGTCTCTGAATAAAAAAGTAAGAAAAAGTAGTTATTTCCGTTTCAACATTCTGAGAATTCAAATATCATTTTGTATGTGCCAGGCCATGTTATATTCACTTTTGATTTGTGTACCCTTACAAAGACCCCGAAAGGGAATTACTATTACTCCTAAGCACTTTTTCTTAACGGATAACTACAATACAGAAGTCTAAGTTACTTGGCCCAGGTCCAACAGCTAGAAAGTTGTACTCTGATGAATCCAGTCAGCTTTCTAAGGGAAAGAGAAGGTCTATGATAAACCTGACTGTAGCGTGGGAATGGCTACACTTGCCTACTGCTTGGAACCTTTTCATTAAGAGTTAGGCTGCCACGTTGGGATGCCTGGGTGGCTCAGTCGGTTAAGGGTCTGCCTTTGGCTCAGGTCATGATCCCAAGGTCCTGGGATAGAGTCCCACGTCAAGGTCCCCGCTCAGCGGGGAGCCTGCTTCACCCTCTGCCTGCTTCTCCCTCTGCTTGTGCTCTCGGTCCAACAAATAAATAAACATAATCTCAAAAAAAAAAAAAGGCTGCCACATTAACCATGGGTAGCAAAAAAAGTGACCCATTAGTGAAATATATATAGTTATATATTATATTCTTATATACTAGCTATGCTTTTCTCGCTATTTTCTTTTTTTTTTTTTAAGATTTTTTATTTATTTATTTGACAGAGATCACAAGTAGGCAGAGAGGCAGGCAGAGAGAGAGGAGGAAGCAGGCTCCCCGCTGAGCAGAGAGCCCGATGCGGGGCTCGATCCCAGGACCCGGAATCATGACCTGAGCCGAAGGCAGCGGCTTAACCCACTGAGCCACCCAGGCGCCCCTTCTCGCTATTTTCTATGTCTAGAATAAGACTGATTCTCATTTTCAGTTAAGGATAAACAGTTTCCTTTTCATGTAAATTAAAGAAAACAGGAATCATTTCAAAGTACAATGTTTAATAAAATATGGTGTAGTTGGTAACAGAATGAGCAGGTGTCTTTTGGTATCTGATATAAGGCACAGAACATCTTTCTCAGTGGCTTTATACCCACCATGTGGATCACAGTTGTGTGGAGGAGATTGAATGATGCTCTCCGGCCCATAGGTCATATTCTTATGTGGCTGATAAAGACCACACGGGAAACATAACCGCGCATACCAGCCTGAGCTTATTTGTCTGAAGGGAAATAAATACCCCTATGCTACGCATCATAATAATAAAGTCATACCTAGCACCTCAGGCCCAGCGTGTTTGTCTGGAAATAAACAAATACGCCTTATGCTAAGTATGTATAATAATAATAAAGTAACAGCGAATATTAATAGACCACTCATCACATGCCAGACACTGTTCTAAGTTCTTTATATGTATTAACTCAATCATTTGAGTCAGATGCCTTTTTTTTTTTTTTGCCCTTTTTACAGTAGAGAAAGCTATATGCCAGAGAGATTTATGTCAAGCAGCTGTGACACAGGGGGGAGTGGCACCCACGCACGTTTACTGCAGCATCATGCCCTCGCACTAGCACCTGGCACCATGACTTCATGGGAAAGGTGAGACACAGAGCCTGGCACAGAGGCAGCGTGGGGAGAGCCCTGAACTGGCAGTCAGACCCTCTGCATAGCTCTGTGACCTCTCTGGGCTTCGGTTTCCCATGTTTCAAGCTGGGGAGCAACTGGTCCATCCCCAAAGGCTCTTCCAGCTTTGACTAGTGAGAAGCAATATAAGCACCTAGTGAATCATCATCAGGCAGCGATGGACCGGAGACCCCTGATTAGGAGCTGTGTGACCCTGGGCAGTTTGCTTAACCTCTCAGAGGACAGCACAATTACTCCAGCCCCTGCATGTTCACTCTCTCTCTGATTCCTACAGACAAGAGGACGTGAAGGATGGTAAAGACTTTCATGTCTGTCCAAACGCTGTGGCTGCATCTTGTCCCTGGGGACATTGTGTAGGAGGTACCTCCCCTCTCCCAGCACTGTGTCAGCAGATTTCCAATCCCATCCTTAACCTCCAACCCAGAGTAATGCTTGCTAACTATTGACCCTTTCCCCAAGAGCTTTTTGGGATCCAACAGGGATACCCTCTCCACAAATGTCGGTGTAGACATACTGACCAGTTTATTAAGCCCTAGCCAGGAGCCAGGAAACTGTCATTTAATGCCCACACAGAGACAGAATCTCCTTTCTACAAAGGAAGAAATGGAGGCTCAGTGAGGTTGAGCAGCTGGTCCAGGCCCCCTGTGGCAAACTAGGCTGTGAACCCAGACTGCCTAACACTGAAGCCCACGCCCTGGACACACGCTGCCTTCTGAAATCCCCCTTTCACACCAGGCACCTGCCGGCAAGCAGGGGCCTGACTCCGGACATGACTCCCTTTTCCCTGTGATCCAACATCAAGAAGCAATTCCCTCCACAAATAGCCAGGGGGACTAACTGTTGTCATTAATTACAAGTCACTGTGGGTCTCACTCCTGCCTAATAAACACCACCACGCCCTCCAAAGCACAAAAATCAGCCACCACCGTTCACAGGCAACTGTGAACTCCTCCATCTGGAACCAGTTCCCAGGTACCCTCCCTCCTGCTGGGAAATGGCTGGTCACTTCCCTCTAGTTCTCTAGTCACTCTGTTGGTTTCAAGTTGCCAAGGACAACTGGATTGTGGAGGGACAGATTCCAGCCTGACCTAGGGAGGAACTTCCAAAGATTCAGAGCCAAGCCACAGCAGGGAGCACTCAGGGGTACAGGGTGTTCCCTCAGTGGCAAAATGGTAGAGAGGAGGCAAGTTCCCCGTGGGGAGGGATAGCCAGGACAGTGGTCCTCAAGGTGTGTGGTCCATGGCACTGGGGCATTTGTGAATTCTCTCTAGTGCTCAGTGGACATCTTCCGTGTACATATGTATGTGTGGCATTATAAAAACTAATTTTGTTCTTCCCATATTCATTGAAATCATGTGTGCTCAACCTAAAAACATGGGCTTTATATTGTTCTTTTATGGCATTTTCATAATATCTGTATTTTTTTTTTCTGTAAATGTTTTTACAGAGAGCTCGCACAAGCAGGCAGAGAGAGAAGCAGGGAGCCTGATGGAAGGCTCAATCCCCAGGACCCTGGAATCACCACCTGAGTCTAAGGCAGCGCTTAACTGAGCCACCCAGACACCCTTATGTATATAAAAACAAGGTTTAATTCGGGATGGACAGGAAGTAAAAAACGCGACTTTCCCACAGGTGTTTTTAAGCCCCAGATAGGATTCAGAACAGGGGAGGGTTTTTTTTTTTTTTTCCATGTCTTGTAGTCAATTTCAAGCCTTGACTCCATGAGGAACTGAAGTTAGGCAGAGAAACCGGGGAGCGTTAAGTCTGTATTGATAGGGAACCTGCCTGGTTGTCTATAGAGCTGTGACCGGATCTCTGAGCGGTGAGTTCAAACCCCACACTGGGAATAGGTTGTTACTTAAAAGCAAAATTGGCATGAGAACACAGGGCTCCCAGGCCTTTATATCCTCTGGAATGATGCCTTTTTATTTTACCAAAGATGAAGGTCCCTGAACTCACTGGCTTTGCCTTAAAGCATTCAGTCTTAGAGAATTAACATGTGTCCAGAAACAGGTTTCCGCAATTCTGGTGGAATTCCCTACGCCAACCCTCGTGGGCACGCAAAGAAAAACAGACTGAGAATACAAGTTAACAGCTTTTATTACGTAAGTCACGTATTTTATAAGGGTAAACAACAAGGAATGTAGGAAACTGGTCAGGGTTGTATCCCAAACAAAAAAGCACCAAAAAACACTGTAGGTTTGCACACGTCGCTCTATTTACATCGGAAACAGGCTCCCTGGGATCAGGCACAACAGCTGCACTTGTCCGACGCCCCTTTGCAAATGCAGCCCTGGGCACACTTGGCACAACCCACCGGGCAGCAGGAGCAACAGCCTGGAGGAAGAAAAACGGCAGAGATTAAATAGGGCACACAGATTTTAAGAACTGGGCGCACTATGAAGCAGCACCTTCCCTCCCAAAAAAAGGATTATCAACCATCCAGTTTAAACTCCCCTCAGGGCATAAAGAGTAAAGATGCATGAAGTGTCGTCTCAAAAGATTCCACTCACTCTTCTTGCAGGAACTGCATTTGCATTCTTTGCATTTGCAGGAGCCAGCGCAGGTGCAGGAACCACCTGCAACAACAACAACAAAAAAAGGCAGAACCATGAGTGGACTCGACAGAGTCCCCGTGAGCGTCCCTACCCACAAACATCCCCATCACCGAGAAACAGGAACCAAAGACTCTGAATTTCCTTACCCGTGCCACAGGAGCAGTTGGGATCCATAGCGTAAAAAAAGGTTGGCTGGACTCCGCGGACAGTAGCACAACAAACAGCAGAGACTTCAAGGAGCCGCGGCGAAACACCCCGCCGACGGCCGACTTTATAGCCACAAGGAGCCGGGGCGAGTGCAAAAGCCCGCCCTCTGGCCGCTGCCTGCACACGCCCCGCGCTGAATCACCCGCGGCCGCGCGGAGCACGGGGCTCTGCGCACGGGGCTCTGCGCACGGGGCTCTGCACACGGCCGCTCGCCCGGTTCCCCGAAGTCGCCTCTGTGAGCCCCGGGCCACCTCGCATGACGGAGGGCCGGGTGCAGAGCGGGAACGCCGCGTGCCTGGTGGCTGGGCCGTGTGCCCAGCACTCTGCCCCCGTCCTCTGGCGTGCACACCTCCCGCCCTCCTGGCCTGTGCCTGAACTCATCTGTGGAGGGGACAGGGAGGTGGGGTAAGCTGGGAAGGAGTGGGGAACTCTGCTTGGATAGAAAAATCGGCTGGAAGTGCAGATCACAAAAACCACTGGGTACCTGTCAAGGCTTAATAATTCTAACAGCAGAGTAAGCCCATGGGAGATGGATGGTTATGGGTACCCTATCTGTCCAGTGTACATTAAGGGGCTTTATTGTGGGATTGTGTGTGATTATGTGTTATCTGCCTGCTCTCATTTAATCCTGTAGTAACTGTTAAAAAGAAAATGATAGGCCCAGAATGGTGTCACTTAGGTCAAGTCTCCAAAGTGAGCTTAATACCTAATCTAACTGCAGTTTCAACCTCCCTCAGAAATAGAAGTCTTAGGGGTCAATCAGGAATTTTCTGGTCAGCACCCAAGAGGCCATCTGTCCCCGGGTTCCTCTCCGTTTCCCGAAGGAAGATGAAGTAGTCCACTCAGTAAGACCTCTGCCCTTCCACCTAACCAAAGGTGACCTTGCCTGAAACAGTCCTTTCTTTTTCCTTGCTCATAACTTCCTGACCCACTCTCTTTCCTATAGAAACCTTCCACTTCCACTCTGAGGTACAACACCTCAGAGCTCCCCTCCACTTGTTAGATGGGATGCCGCCTGATTCATGAATCATGAAATAAAGCAAATTATATCTTCAAGTGTGCTCAGTTGCATTTTGTTTTTATTTTATTTTTAAAAATATTTTACTTATTTATTTGACAGCAGGAGAACGAGAGAGAGAAAGCACAAGCAGGGGGAGCAGCAGAGGGAGAGAGAGAAACAGGCTCCCCACTGAGCAGGGAGCCTGTTTTCGGAGCTGGATCCAAGGACCCTGGGATCAGGACCAGAGCCAAAAGCAGACGCTTAACTGACTAAACCACCCAGGTGCCCCCGAATTTTGTTTTTAAATACAACGTTGTGAGGTAAGGACTATCCCTTAATTTAAAGAGGAGGAAATGGAGGCCCAGAGAGGTTAAGTAGCTTGCCTACGTCACAGAGCTAATATATGGCAGAGCCCAGTGATTCAAAGCATCCAGCAGATGCTAAGGATAGATCATCTAGGGGTAGACATCACGGGCAAGGGAGAGCAAGGATCAAGAAACTATAAGCTTGGTGCTCAGGAAACTCAGAGTCAAGGGGGCAGCCCCATGGGCACATAGGGAAAAGTGACACCAGCGTCCTGGCTAGGATGGAGATTGCCTTAAGGGACAGGGGGAGCAGAGAGGGGAAAGCCAGTCCAGCCTGGAAGGAGGTGGGCCAGTGAGGTAAGGAGGGTGAGAAGGTGTCTGCTAAGCAGAGGAAGGGGAAGGAGTTGTATTACAGCCTGCAGAAGCAGCAGCCCGTTGGAAAGTTGGCATCACCCTGGAACATTTGGAAGGGAAAAGCCCACAAGAGCCTTCTTCCCCCATGTAGCTGAGGGGAAAGCGTGGAGGTAGCGTCCAAATTTCTCTCCGAGGGAGCACACCCTGCTTCCCTGCTCATGTGTGTCTGGCTGCGGGCTAACAGATCTTAGATCATCATCCTTGGAATGCTCTGAGTGTGTCATCAGAGGAGTCAGCAGCCTTTGGTTGCTGGAAGTTTCCTGGAAGCTTAGGGAACACCGGTGCTGCGGCAGGGAGTTCAGTGAAGGGGCGGGCAAGGACAGGCTGTTCTCGCAGCATTTACTGTATGGTCCTGTGGAAATGTCTTCATAGCTCAGCAACCGTCACTTGCTCGGGAACCCGTCCTGAACCCCGTGCTGGGTCACAATGCCCTTGGAACCTGCTGGTAAACATCCTGTCCTTTTACTTCCTGGCACTTTCCTTGTCTGTAATATGTAGGAACATGTGCGATTCTTGGATCCATGTCTGCGTCCCTCCCCATTCCAGCGCACTGCTGAAAAGAAGAATGGTTGTTACCCCCAAAATGTGGCTCCAGCCCGGGCACAGGGCCAAGTCTGCAGTAGGTGCTAATGCATACTTGTCAGATGAATTAATGGGGGTTATCCCCTTAATGTCCCCTCCATCCCCAGCCCCACCTTACATTAAGGGCCCATTACAAAATGAAAGTAAAAAACTTTTTTTCCACTGCCCTGGGACCTGTGTGCTCACGCCAATAAAAACAGCAAGCAGGGCGGGAGAGTTGTGCCATCAGAGGGACTAAATTCTAACAGTCACTGCCACTCACTAGCTGAGTGACCTGGGTGCAGTAGCGTGCCAGCGCTCCTCAGAGCCTCTGTTTACTCATCCTGTCAAATGATCCAATTGTACTAGAACTCGAGGGCCATGTGCAAACTGATTTTAGAGCCAATGTCTCGGAAGTCTCACTGTGTCCAGCAGCGTTGGGAACTAGTGCACTCATGGGTCTCCTCCTCCTCGGGTAGTGGGCTGATTTTGTCATTGTTGTTGTTATTTACATAGACATGCATGTTATATTCAAAGGTCCTGGTTTCTAATCAGGAAGTCCCTGGTCCACTCAGGGGAAACAATGAAACTCTATGAAGAGACAATAGGGCTTGTTTTTTGCCCTGAAAGTCTTGAATTTAGCCTTGGGTCTGAGCCATCCATGTTGGTTTTTGTTTTTGTTTTTTAAAGATTTTTATTTATTTATTTGACAGAGAGATCACAGGTGGGCAGAGAGAGAAGGGAAGGGAAGCAGGTTCCCCGCTGAGCAGAGAGCCAACGCAGGCTCGATCCCAGGACCCTGAGATATGACCCGAGCCAAAGGCAGAGGCTTAACCCACTGAGCCACCCAGGCTTCCCTGAGCCATCCATGTTGGGAGTAAAATTTGCCTCCAGGCCTTAGCTGTCTGCGTTGAATCACTGTGACTCAGTGAGGGGAAGGTTGGCCAATCACCTAGACCTGGCCCTAGTCTTGCTCATTGACTTGCCCCTGAAAGTCTCACTGTGCTTGGGACAGAGATGGAGAGGAAGGACCTTCCAATGTCTGCATCCCTAGCATGGCAGAGGATGAGGGAGATGAAGCCAAGCAGTATTAGATGAAGAAAAATACCCCCCTGCTAATCTGATGTGAGTCATCAGTGTGAGGCAAGGATGGCCCTAGCTTGCATTAATAGAAGTATGTTATCTAGAATGAAGGAGGTGAATTTTCACTCTCCTTTTAACTGCCGAGGTGGATGTTTATAGTTCTGTCCAGCCATCCACTCATCCTTCTCATAGCAGTACCCTTAGTTCTCCTTTGTACAATCTCACCTCCCTACTCTTGGTCCATATGGTTTGGATGGTGGAGACCCTGTCTCTGGGAACCTGGGCCATTCTGTCTCTCTGGCCACAGGGATTGGCTCTGACTGGTTCACCCAACCATGAACCAAAGAGAATCACTGAAACTTTTGCTGGGAATGCTGGGAAAATGAAGTTACTCTTTCCATCTGCATTTGAACCTGAGAGGAGGTGAGGCTGACTTTCTAAAGCCTTTTGTCTCTAGGAGAAGAGCCTGAAAATAAAGCCATGGCAAAGGAAATGGAGACCGACCTCACTGGAACACCTGGACCCCGCCATCCCTGAAGCCGTTGTGAGTCAATCATTTCCTTTTTAGTGAAATCATTCTGGATGAAGTCCTAACTGGCACTGTGGGCCAGACTATCCTGAGGGTTGTCTTCATGTCAGGCTTCAACTGTTCAGGAGACGGTTGATCACAATGGTCCTAAAACTCAAAACCCCATCTCGTGAACAACTTTTGAGAGGGGTGGACAGGTTCACTCTGGACGAAAAGTTACGTTTGCATGTTTGCACAATGGATGCTCTGATTGTCTACCACTGTGCGACAAATGACCCAAAGCTCAGCACCTTAAACCACCATTTTACTGGCTCTGGTTTTGGGGGGCAGGAATTCCAACAGGGCTCCTTTGTCTGATTCTTCTGTTCTGCGCGTGATCGACCGAGTTTACTTGGAGGCATTCAGCGGGTGAATAGGCCTAAGTCAGCTTCACTCACAGGTCTGGCCCCCTGGCAGGGATGGCCGGAGGCCTGAGCTCAGCTGGAGCTCTAGACCAGAGCTCGCACATGGGGCCTCTCCAGCACAGCAGCCCCTGGGCAGTGAGGCTCCTTCCGTTCAGGTCAGGGCTCCAAAGGCATGAGGACCAAGGGTCAGCATGGTAGCTGCGTGTCTCTCAAACCCTGGGCCCTGAAGCTTGCACAGCTCGGTTTCAGCACGTTGTGTTGGTCAAGCGGTGCCACATCCTGCTGCTCAGATTCAAGGGGAAACGATGAAGGCACTATTGTTGATAGGAGGAGTCAGTGACTTTGCAGTCATCTCTAACCTGCCAGAGTAGTTGTGGGGAATACGTATATAATATATATATAAATATATAATCTATAAATAATATATTATATATTAATATTATTATATATTATTTATAGATATAATTATAGATTTTATTAATATATATTATTTATATATAGATTATATATAATATATATTATATATTATACATAATAGATTATATTAATATATAAATATATATTATTTATAGATGATATGTGTGTCATATATATAACTGCAGTATTAATATATGTTATATATGTTACATATGCACTATTAATGTATAATTATATGTGAAGATATAATTATATATTAATATATATTGTTATAGAATATATATTATAGAATATATATGCCATATATTATATAGTGTATGTTATATATGTTATTAACATATGTTTTATATATATATACACACACACACACACTTGCTATATATATATATATATATATATTTATTTATTTTTTTTTTTTTTTTAGAGAGAGCACATGAGCAGGGAGTGGAGTGAGAGGCAGAAGAGGGAGACAAAGACTCTTTAACAGGTTCCACACTTCATATGGAACCCAACTTGGGGCTATCTCATGACCCTGAGATCATGACCTGAGCCAAAATCAAGAGTCAGATGCTTCACCGACTGAGCCACCCAGGCGGCCCATGGGCAGTAATACTGAGCACCTGCTACGCACCAGGCCTGGTACTAAGGACATCCTGAGTTTATCTCAGGATAAACTCAGGATAAACTGCACAGCTCAAAGGCAGACCCTGGTTTTTATAAGACAAGACCCTCGAGGTTCATGGCCGCTCGGGGGCACAGCTGTCAATGGCAGCACTGGGATTTCAACCCAGAATTTTCTGACTCCCCACTTGCATGTTTATGCCATGCTGAGAAGAAGAAATGAGGCTTGTCCTCTGTGGTCCCTAGGGCAGAACCTGGCCAAGGATGGGGCTGCAGGCGTAGAGGTTCTGCTCCAGAAAGGAAAGGCCTTTCCTGCAGTTAGAGCTGGCCATGACCGAAATGGACCCACCTGGAAGATAGTTTCCTGTCCCCACTGCAATAGAAACAGAGGTGGTGATTCTAGCACCAGATAGGGGGATAGAAAGAGGTTAGGTCCCTTCTTGTCGGGGATCCTGGGATTCCAGGGTTCTATCACAGGTACCAACTGTCTGCTCTTAGATCTTCCTTCTCTTTCTACTGACCCTGCCTTCATTTTGGAGGTGTCTTTGTTATCTAACGCTGCCTAACAGAGCGAGCAGCTGAGACAACACACAGGTATTATGTCGTAGTTTCTGTGAGTCAGGAATGCAGGCAAGGCTTAGCTAGGCCCTCGGGGCTCAGGTTCCCTCCCCGACAGCAAGCAGGGTATCAGCCAAGGCCACAATCATCTCCAGGGTGAGCTGGGACAGGATCAGCTTCCATGATCATGGGTCGTCAGCAGGGTTTGGGTCCTTAGGGACTACCATGCTGAGGCCTTGGTTCCTCATAAGCTATTGGCCAGAGGTCTCCCTTGGCTCTGGGCCACACGGGCCTCTCCCTAGAGCATTCCACAACAGGACAGTGAGCAAGCAAGAGAGAGTGTCAACAGCAAAATGTGATCAGATGAAAGTCATGGTCACTTTAACACAGAGTGACATCCTGTCGCTTTTACAGTGTTGTATTTGGGAGAAGAAGTCATTGGGTCCAGGCCACACTCAAGGGGAGGGGACACGCGAGGGCCTGAGCAGTGGAGTATGGATGGCATCATGGCATCATGGAGGCCATCTTGAAAGTCTGACTACCCCCGGTGAAGGTGGGGGGAAGTGCTTTCTCCCTGCAGGACTTTGCACGGGCTGCTTTCTTTGCCTAAAATGCTCCCTCCACCCCTGTCCCTTTCATATGTTGGGTCCCAGTGTAAGGTCACTTCCTCAGAAAGGCCTTCCTGGGACCCCAAATATTGGAGTCTCTCTGTCATCTGCAAACATATGCCTTCTCTGTGGCACTTATTACAATGATGGGCATGAGTGACAGAGCAGGTAGTATTTACGTCCTCCCGATCCTGTGCCAGGTGCTCAGGGCTGTACACATGTGAACTCACTTGATTCTTCTGACAGCTCCCTAAGATAGGGCCGGTCATCACCTACATTTTACAGAGGGAGAGACTGAGGCTCAGAGAGGCTGAGTAACACTGCTGAAAGCCACTCGCTGGTCAAGGGCCCAGTCAGGAGGTCTTTCCCCTGAGCCTGTGCGCTTAGGCCTCTGCCACACAGCCTTCCCCAGCAGCTAGTGCACTGTGTGATTTTTTGTTGTTGTTGTTTAATCTCTGATACCCCACTAGGCCGTGGGCTGTGTCTGCTGTGCTCCCTGTCCTAGCTCTGGCACCTGGCACAGTGCCCGGCTCGTGGTGGGTGCTTAATAATACAAAGCAATGGAGAAGATGGAGTCTTGCCAGAAGCCAGTAAGAAGGCTCCTTGAAGAGCGAGACCTGCCTGGTGCAGAGTCCACTTTGAAAGCCTGCATTCAGAGGGCAGCTAAACACCCTTTGGCATCCTTCCCTTCTTAGTAACCTGGCCTCCACCTCCCTTTTCTGTCCCTAAGCACTTCCACTCTAGGATACTAGGGCGTCCCACACCCTCTTCCAAACACATGGGACACTCCCACTCCACATTTTTGCTCCCTCCTTCCATCCCTAAAAACTGACTGCAGATGCCTCCTCCTCTGAGGAGTCTTCCTTGATCTCCCAACCTGGTGGAGTCTCTCCCTTCTTAAAGCCACCAGAGCCTCTGCTTGTACTTCCTCACCCACCCTGGGCCTCAGCCTCCTGAACTCTAAAATGAGGAGAGCCTGGGTGCTGTGGTCTTTAAGTTTCTTCCAGCTTCTAAAGCATCCGGGATTAAGGAGGGCAGGTGATGTAATGAGCACTGCGAGTCATATAAGACGGATGCATCACTGACCTCTACCTCGGAAAGCTAATAATACATTATATATTAACTAACTGAATGTAAATTAAAAATTATATAAAGCATCCAGGATTCCACTCCGGATTTTTGTGATGGCTTTACCCTCCCCACGGGTCTCTGAATTCCTTGAAGGGCCGAGACAATTTCCTTTCCTCTCTCCTCAGTGTCTACCACAGAGCTTGGTGATTTTTAGGCATTCATAAATATAAACGATTTGAGGGGGTGGGTTGAGATGGCAGCTCGGTGGAGATGTATGTCTCCCGTGTCTGCTCAAAATCCCATGGAAAGAGGGAAAAGATCATTCATTAAAAGGCTGAGTAATGGAAAACTCTAAAGAATGACACCAGAAGGCATCATACTCCCTGATTTCAAACTATATTATAAAACTGTAATAATCAAAACAGTATGGTATTGGCATAAAAATAGTCAAATAGATGAAGGGAACAGAATAGGAAGCCCAGAAATAAACCCATGCATACATGGTCAATTAATTTATAACAAAGGAGCCAAGAATATAGAAGGGAGAAAGGACTGTCTCTCCAATAAATGGTGTTGGGAAAACCGGATAGCTACATGCAAAAGAATGAAACTGACCACTATCTCACACCATATATAAAAAAATAACTGAAACTGGATTAAAGATTTGAATGTAAGACCTGAAACCATAAGACTCCTAGAAGAAACATGGGCAGAAAGCTCCTTGACATCAGTCTTAGTGATGACTTTTTTTTTTTTTTAGATTTGACACCAAAAGCAAAAATAAACAAACAGGACTCCGTTAAACTAAAAAGCTTCTGCACAGCAAAGGAAACCATCGGCAAAATGAAAAGGCAACCTACTAACTGGGGAAGAAATGTCTGCAAACCATTTATCTGGTAAGGGGTTAATATTCGAAGTATATAAAGAACTCACATAACCCAATAGCTAAGAACCAGACAATCTGATTGAAGAGCGGGCAGAGGACACTTTTTCCAAAGACATAAAGATGGCCAACAGGTACATGAAAGGGAAACCTAGCCCTGTTGGTGGAGATACAAATTGGGGCAGCCACTCTGGAAAAAATACGGAGTTTCCTGAAAAAACAAACAAAAAAAACTACCAGTTAATCCAGCGATTCCACTTCTGGGTCTTTATCAGAGGAAAATGAAAACACTAAATCGAAAAGATACATGCGCCTTTGTGTTCACTGCATTATTTATAATAGCCAAACAGCTATTTGGGAAACAGCCCAAATGTCCACTGACGGATGAACAGATAAACAAAGTGCATTATCTACATACGATGGACAAGCAATTCAACCTTCAAAAGGAATGAAATGCTGACCAGTGTTACAACATGAATTAACTTTAAAGACATTACGCTCAATGAAATGAGACATGAAAGGACAAATAAACATCGTATGAAGCCACTTACATGAGATACCTAGAGTAGTCTCATGTAAGTAAATTCATGGAGAAAGTAGAATGGTGGTTTCCAGGAGCCAGAGAAAGACAAGAGTGGGGAGTTACTGTTTCCTGGCGACAGAGTTTAGTTTGGGAAGATGGAAAAGTTCTGGAGATGGATAGTGGTGATGGTTGTACAACCAAGTGAATATATCCAAGGCTACCAAGCTATATACTTAAAAATTTTTAGGGGCACCTGAGTGGCTCAGTGGGTTAAAGCCTCTGTCTTCAGCTCAGGTCATGATCCCAGGGTCCTGGGATCGAGCCCCACATCGAGCTCTCTGCTCAACAGGAAGCCTGCTTCCCTTCCTCTCTCTCTCTGCCTGCTTGTGATCTCTGTCAAATAAATAAATAAAATCTTAAAAAAAAATTTTTTTAATGGCCAACGTTACGTTATCTATATTTTACCACAGTCAAACATTTTATGATGGGCAAAATATTTGAACAGACTTGCCAGCAAAGAAGACACAAGAATGACTATTAAGCCTATGAAAGGGTGCTCAACATCATTAGTATATAAGAGAATCGCAAACTGAAACCACAAGACAATACCACTTTATACTTACTAGGAACGGCTAGGGTACAAAATGCAGGCATCTAAGAGCGCCAGTGAGGATGTGGAAAATGTGCAACACTTATGCACCGCTACTGGAGATGTAAAATGGTACAGCCACTTTGGAAAGCAATTTGGCAATTTCTCCAGAAAGTTCCAGAAAGATCCAGCAATTCTGGGCACCTGGGTGGCTCAGTTGGTTAAGTGACTGCCTTTGGCTCAGGTCATGATCCTGGAGTCCCGGGATGGAGTCCCGCATCGGGCTCCCTGCTTGGCAGGGAGTTTGCTTCTCCCTCTGACCCTACCCCCTTCTCTCTCAAATAAATAAATAAATAAATCCAGCAATTCCACTCCTAAATATCTAACCAAGAGAAATAAAATATATGTCTACACAAAGACTCATGCTCCAAGGTTCACAGCCATTTATGAACATTATTTGAAATAGCCAAAAAGTGCAAACAACTCAAACGTCCACCAACTAGTGAATGGGTAACTATAACGCGGTATATCCATACACTGAAACTCCTATTCAGCAATAAAAAACAAACAAACGAATGAATGGATGAAATGAATGAATGAATGAATGACTAAGATGTGCAGCTACGTGGCATGAATCTCAAAGACACTATGCTAAGTGAAGGATGCAAAAGGCTATGGAGGACGCCATTTATATGAAATGGCTATGGGGCGCCTGGGTGGCTCAGTGGTTAAAGCCTCTGCCTTCAGCTCAGGTCATGATCTCAGGGTCCTGGGATCGAGTCCCGCATCTGGCTCTCTGCTCAGTGGGGAGCCTGCCTCCTCCTCCTGTCTCTCTCTGCCTCCTTTCTGCCTACTTGTGATCTGTCAAAAAAAAAAAAAAAAAAAAGAAATGGCTAGAAAAGGCAAACTCCTGGAGACAGAAAGAAGGTCATTGGTTGCCTAGGGTTTGTGGTGGGAGCAGGATTAAACTGCAAATGGGCACAGTAGAACTTCTGAATGACGATAGTATTTTAAAACTGTATTGTGGTCTGGACATTGGGAAGGGTATGTGCTATGGTGAGTGCTGTGAAGTGTGTTAAGCCTGATGATTCACAGACCTGTACCCCTGCGGCAAATAATACATTATATGTTAATAAAAATAATTAATAAATTTTAAAAAATGTATTGTGAGGGTGGCACAACTCTGAAAACTTGTTAATATACTTGAATCGTACACTTAAAATCAGTGAATTTTGCAGCACGTAAACTATATCTTGAAAAAGGTTTAAAAAAAAAGAAAACAGAATTCCGGCAGAAGCCAAAAACCTTTGAGAACTTCCTGGGGAAAAAAAAAAGCAGATCGAAAACAAAGGATCAGTGTCCAAAAAATATTTAAATAGCTTCTATAAATCAGTAAGAACACTACAAACAAATAAGCAGGAAAAAAGAACAAAGGACATAAATCTGTAGTCCACAGAAACCAAGGGCCAATAAATCACTGGAAAGGTTCTCAGCTTTACTGTTAAAAGGAAAGGTGTAATTTAAAATCCGCCATTTTTCCCTTCAGCTTGACAAAAAAATTCAAGGTTAATGCACAGGGTTAATGAGGAAATGGAGCATTGAACACTTGCAGATGTTGCTGGTGAAATGCAAGTTGGAACGGTCCCAGTGAAGGACTTTTGGCCAGATCTATTAAAAAGTCTGTTCCTGGGGCACCTGGGTGGCTCAGTTGGTTGGGCGTCTGCCTTCGGCTCAGGTCATGATCCCAGATTCCTGGGATCGAGCCCCACATTGGGCTCCCTGCTCAGCGGGGACCCGGCTTCTCCCTCTCCCTCCGCCTGCCGCTCTGCCTACTTGTGCTCTCTCTGTGTCGAATAAATAATAAAAATCTTAAAAAAAAAAAAAGTCTGTTCCTTGTACTCCAGCAATTTGTTGTATCAGCTTACAACTAAGAGAAACTCAGTGTATGAGGAGAAGCCCCAGTCTGCCTGTTGGAAAAAATGGAATCCACCTAAATATCCATCCATTAGTCTGTAACAAAATTTTGAAATGAGCTATGATGTAATCATTCCACGATATGCTCTATCGCCATTATTAGCTATCTGTGTCCTAACAAATATCTCCAAGGCAGATTGCTGAGTGGAAAAAAAAAAAAAAGGAAGTTGTGGTATTCACTTGCATACGTAAAAATTAGCCAAACAGAAGTGAGTGCATTCTCTTCGCAAAAGGTTGGTATGAATAAAGCTAAAGATCCCCTTGATTGTCTTGGGAAATCCCAATGTCCATATACATATATGAAATTTTTTAAAAAAAGATTTTATTTATTTATTTGAGAGAGAGTGCATGCATGAGAGAGAAAAAGAGAGTGCGAAAGAGAGACAGCACGAGCTGGGAGCGGGGAGCAGAGGAAGAGGGAGAGAAGCAGAGTCCTCGCCAGCAGGGAGCCCAATGCAGGGCTCCATCCTAGGACCCTGGGATGGTGATCTGAGCCCAGGGTCCTAGGATGTGGACCACCCAGGCACCCCTATATCCTTGGAAAATTTTTAAATCCTGCTGTCCATTTCTTACTAATTTGTATTAACTATCATATATTGTCAGTGTTGGTTTTCTCTTTCTCTCACACATAGGATTTGACAGCTCAGGCTGCCATGACAAAATGCCATACACTGGGTGGTTTAGACAACAGAAATCTGTTTTCTCACAGTTCTGGAGGCTCAAAGTCCAAGATCAGGAGGCAGCTAGGGTTCGTTTCCCACGAGAGCCAGCCCTCTTCCGGGTTTGTAGGCAGCCACCATCTTGAAAGAGAGCTCTCGGCTGTCTCACCTGAGGACACTAATCCTAATCCTATTATATCAAGGTCCCACCCTGTGATCTCCTTCAACCTCCCTACTGGCCTGTCTCCATCACATAGGGGGCTCGAGCTTCCACAGATGAATTTGAGGTGGATACAGTTCAGTTCGTAGCGCACATATGTAGCAACTATTTTTTATTGCCATGTAGCTTTGCTTATTTTGTTTTTAATTGTGGTACAATGTATGGAGCATAAAGTTTACCATCTTTTTAAAAATATATTTTTAAAAAGATTTTATTTATTTATTTGAGAGAGAGCATGAGCGAGGAGAAGGTCAGAGGGAGAAGCAGACTCCCCTGGAGCTGGGAGACTGATGCAGGACTCGATCCCAGGACTCTGGGATCATGACCTGAGCCAAAGGCAGTCGTCCAACCAACTGAGCCACCCAGGCGTCCCAAAGTTTACCATCTTAACCATTTTTATTTTATTTTTTGTTTTTTAAATTTTTATTTATTTAATTTTAAAGATTTTTTTAAATTTATTTATTTGACAGATAGAGATCACAAGTAGGCAGAGAGGCAGGCAGAGAGAGAGAGGGGGAAGCAGGCTCCCCGCTGAGCAGAGAGCCCCATGTGGGGCTCAATCCCAGGACCCTGAGATCATGACCTGAGCTGAAGGCAGAGGCTTTAACCCACTGAGCCACCGAGGCGCCCCATATTTTTTTAAAGTTTGTTTGTTTGTTTATTTATATTTAGTAATCTCTACACCTAACGGGGGGCTCAAACTCACTGCCCTGAGATCAAGAGTCTCATGCTTTTCCAACTGAGCCAGCCAGGTACCCCTCTTAACCATTTATTATAAAGGTTTTATTTGACAGAGAGAAAGCACGCACAAGCAGGAGGAGCACCAGGCAGAGGGAGAAGGAGAAGGAGCAGGGAACCCAGTGCAGGACTCATCCCAGGACCCTGAGAACATGACCTGAGCTGAAGGCGGACACTTAACCGACTGAGCCACCCAGGTGTCCCTCCTCTAATATTTTTTAAAAAGGTTTTATTTTTATTTTTTTATTTGAGAGAGAGGGCACCTGACTGAGGGTGTTGGGGGTGGGTAACAGACAGAGAGAGAGAGAGAGAGAGACAGGAACAAGCAAGACTGCACGTGCTGAGCTGGGCTTGTAGAGGGGCTCAATCCCACGACCCTGAGATCTTGACCTGAGCCAAATCAAGAGTCGGGGGCTTAACTGACTGAGCCCCCCAATGAATAGATAACAGTCCGCTGTATGTATATACCACATTTTGTTTATCCATTCACCTATCAGTGGATACCTACATTGCTTCCTCCTTTTGGCTACTGTGAATAATGCGCTATGAACATGGGGTCTACAAATATCTCTTTGAAACCCTGCTTTCAATTCTTTTGACATTACCCAAAGGTGGAATTGCTGGGTTCTATGGCCATTCTATCTTTAATTTTTCTGAAGAGCCACCATACTGTTTCCATAGTGGCTGCACCATTTTACGTTTCTGCCACGGGTGCCGGAGGATTCTAGTTTCTCCACATCCTTGCCGACACTTGTCATTTTTTTTTTTTAAGATTTGTATTTATTTATTTATTTGACAGAGATCACAAGTAGGCAGAGAGTCAGGCAGAGAGAGGAAGGGAAGCAGGCTCCCTGCCGAGCAGAGAGCCTGATGTGGGGCTCAATCCCAGGACCCTGGGATCATGACCTGAGCTGAAGGCAGAGGCTTTAACCCACTGAGCCACCCAGGCGTCCCAAAGTTTACCATCTTAACCATTTTTATTTTATTTTTTAATTTTTTATTATTTATTTATTTATTTTTAAATATTTTAAAAAATGTATTTATTTGACAGACAGAGATCACAAGTATGCAGAGAGGCAAGCAGAGAGAAAGGGGGAAGCCCCTTGTTTTTTTGATAGTAGTCATCTGCTATGGACTGAATGTTTGTGTCTCCTGGGGACTTTGGGAGGGGTTTAGGTCAGGAGGTGGAGCTCTCCTCAATGAGGTTAGTGCTCTTATGAAAGAGACCCCACAGAGCTCCCCCCAGTCCCTTCTGCCCTGGGAGGATGCAACTGGAAGTTTTGACCCAGAAGAGGCCCTTACTCGGACATGCTGGCACTCTGATCTCGGGCTTCTCGGCTCCAGAACCATGAAAAATAAATTTCTGTTGTTTATATGCTACTCAGTCTGTAATATTTTGTTATAGCAGCTCCAACAGACAGAAACATCATCCTAATGAGTGTGACGTGATTTGGGTTTGTTTTGATGCTTTTTGTAATGCAAGGCAAGCCAGAAGCAAGAAAACAAGCATCATTAGGTTTAAGGGTCTGATTTGAGTCCAAATCAGGGTTCAAATCCTGACTCTACCATGTTCTAGCTACCTGGAAGGTAGAAGCAATGATCTTGAGATCATGACCTGAGCCTGTTCTTTTTCTTTTTCCTTTTTCTTCTTCTCCTTTTTCTTTCCTTTTTCCTCTTCTTCTTCTTCTTCCTCTTCTTCTTCTTCTTCTTCTTCTTCTTCTTCTTCTTCTTCTTCTTTTTTTTTTTTTTTGGAGTGGGGGTTGTTATAACTTCATTGGTCCTGCTCCTTTCTGTCTATGAAAGTCTTCCATTTTGTGCTCCTTGGCGCTCCTTTCGATCTGCCAGACTGGAGACTGTCTCATTTGGATCAACGTTTGCGCAAATAAACACATATGCCTCCGTTTATCTTTTTAATAGACCTCATGCAGATTACCCTAAGCTCTATTTCCCCATCTGTAAAATGGGTATAATCATCATACCATTCTTTCAGAGTTTAAGGATCAAGTAAGATAATGTACTTAAAAGGACTTAGCACAAGATAATCTCAAATGTATCAATCTTTTCTTTTATGTCTCATTTAAAAGAATCGTATCTATCCCAGAGTAATAAACATTCAATTTCCCCCTTCTGAGTCTTCTATAGCTTTGATTTTGCTCCTAGGCATTTAAGCCAATTGAAAAATACTTTTTACATGATATGCAAAAGGATAGCCAATTGTTCCAACACCTCTCACTGACTAGTGTATCCTTCTGTCACTAACTTGGACATCTCTTACTCCCAGCTACACAGGGTCTGTTTTGGGACCCTCTTCTCTGTCCAACGGATCTACTCCTGAGCTGACATCACTTCCTAGAGCATTAGAACAAGTAATGCTAGCAGGTTAGAGCAAACCCCTTTTGCTGTTCCTTTTCAAAACTGGTTTGTCTTTTCTCGCACTCTGTTTTTCTACGCTCAGCCTCTTAAGTCTTAAAAATAAATCCTGGTGGGCTTTTGAATGAGCTGTCCTGAAAAACTAAGTTGGAGGAAAATTGATGTGTTTACAGCATTGTGACCTCTTGCTGGAAAACTTTTGTCTCCCAGAATTCTTTTTCTCCCTTCTCAGCCAACCCAGGTGGATCTGAATGTTCTCTTTCACCAAGGACTGGATCACAACCACAGTGGATAAAAGCTCTTATTACCCTAGTTGCCCTTGAAGAAAAAGGGGCTGAACACAAACTGCCAAATGAGATGATTTGAAGGGAGCTGAACAGCCTAGCCCGTTTCTGGGAGGCACGCTATTCAGGGTGGTGACCTTGGAAACACAGCTGACAGTTTGCCAAGACAGACCCCTGGGCCTCCTGGACTCTCTCCTCTGATGGCTCTGACAACAAGCAGCTTTGCAGGAGCAACTAGAACATTCCAGGAATCACAGGGCTTTGAGACTGGGACCTGGTTTTAATTTCCCCCAACCCCATTGTACGGATGAAGAATGTGAGGTTGACCAGTGGGAGCAAGAGACCAACATGGGGT